ATATATATATATATTATTTTTATATATATACATATATATATATATATATATATATATATATATATATATATATATATATATATATATATATATATATATATATATATATATATATATATATTTCACTATTCCATTGTCTATATTATATATGTGTGTGTGTGTTTTTGATGTGTCTGCCTGTGTTCCTATCGATCTTTGTATCTTAAGACGACCTCCCCCTCCTGAAAAATCACGACATAATCCTCTTTTATGTGTTACCTCTTAACCCCCAACCATCCACACCCTCTATTTCCATTGCTCGTCCCTAAATACCATTTTGTCCCACCTTTTCCATACCCGGCACCCTGCCCATCATCTTGCCATTATTCACAGAGCATTAAGAATCGCATCAGATTTCTCAATCCCGAAAGCAACTCTCCTATTTAATTATCCATTCTTCGCTTCGATAGAAAGAAAATTCCCTTGGCATTTGACTCACTTTGTTTCACCAATTAACGTTTTCTTGTTTGCATTTATTTTTCTTCGATTCCTTGAAGCCACTCCCAGCCTTACAATATATACATTGATGACAAACAAATCCCGAAGGCTGCTATTATTCACTCTTTATCCCGTTTTCTTTCGTACGTTCACCTTTTCTTTTTTCTTTTTTTTTTTTTGAATTTTTATTTATTTCTCCGGTAGGAACACCTACGCATCTGTGAAGAGATACTAAGTATCGGAATAAATGAGCCTAGCCGTGGATCATTGGGATTGCCTAATATGGATGTAGGATATGGTGGGGGAGACATCTTTCATGCATAAATACCTATCTATCTCAGTTTAATAATATCTATGTCAGTCTGTTCATATCTATCTATCTATCTATCTATCTATCTATCTATCTATCTATCTATCGATTGATCGCTCGATCGATCTAAGTCTGTTCATATAGTCTGATTTGGATGCGTTGGCACGGTGTATTGATTAGCAATCTTGCCTCGCAAGAACAATTTCAACTGAACAGTAAGTTCAGTCTGGGAGCCCCATACTTTTGGCCTTGTACCACATGTAATCTAGATTTAGAAAATCATCATATCTAAGTGTGATTCTATCTATCTATCTATCTATCTATCTATCTATCTATGTATATTTGTTCATATATCAGTCTGATTATATCTATCTATCTATCTATCTATCTATCTATCTATCTATCTATCTATCTATCTATCTATCTATCCCAGTCTGTTCCTAAATTAGTTTCATTCTATGTCTGTTCATATATCAGTCCGATAATATCTATCTATCTATATTTGTTCATATACCAGTCTGATTATGTCTATCTATCTATATTTGTTCATATATCAGTCTGATTATATCTATCTATCTATATTTGTTCATATACCAGTCTGATTATGTCTATCTATCTATATTTATTCATATATCAGTCTGATTATATCTATCTATCTATCTATCTATCTATCTATCTATCTATCTATCTATCTATCTATCTATATATGTATATATATATATATATATATATACATATATGTTGATATATCAGTCTGATTATATCTATCTATCTATCTATACATATTTGTTCATATATCAGTCTGACTATATATATATATATATATATATATATATATATTTGTTCATATATCAGTCCGATTATATCTATCTATCTATCTATCTATCTATCTATCTATCTATCTATGTAGCTATCTATCCTAGTCTGTTCCTAAATCAGTTTCATTCTATCTATGTCTGTTCATATATCAGTCCGATAATATCTATATATCGATGTATATTTGTTCATATATCTGTCTGATTTTATCTATCTATCTATATTTGTTCGTATATCAGTCTCATTATATCTATCTATATTTGTTCATATATCAGTCTCATTATATCTATCTATATTTGTTCATATATCAGTCTAATTATATCTATCTATCTATATATCTATCTATCTATTCATGCCAATGTGTGTTCCTAAATTAGTTTAATTCTCTCTATGTCTGTTCATATATCAGTCTCATTATATCTATATATCTATCTATATTTGTTCATATATCAGTCTGGTTATATCTATTTATCTATCCTACTCTGTTCATATATCTATCTCATTCTATCTCAATCTCTTCATCATTTAGTCTGATTTGGACATCTTGACGTGGAGCAATGGTTAGCATTCGTGCCTCTCTAGAGCAATTACAACCCAGTAGTAAGTTAGATTCAGGTGGACCATTCTTATGACCTTGTCCCACATCTAAGCTACACTTAGAAAATCCTCACGTGTCAGTATGATTATATCTATCTATCTATCTATCTATCTATCTATCTATCTATCTATCTATCTATCTATCTATCTATCCGAATCTCTTCATATCTATCTCGGTCTGATAATATCTACGTCACTCCATTGAACTATATAAACGTATGTCTATGGAACTATATCTATCTATCATTACTTATAAATACATCTGTTCATACCGATACCGCTAAATATAATAATTTCTAAATCAGTCACCCAATCATTTTACTTCCATTTTTTTCCATATCTATATATCTATTCCTGTCCATTGATGTAGCATCTTTACAAGGATGCACATTTCACAACGTTATTTTCTTAATGATTAATGCAGTTCATCGTGCAAAAAGGCTGTAGTTATATTTACAATCTTATTTTGTATTCAACAATATTTGGAATGATGCTCGCATAGCTTTGATATTTGAAGGCTTTCTGGTGTTTTTTTAGCCGATACTTTTCGAAGTCTTACCCTGTGTCCACCTCAGCATAAAACGTTTGTTAAACTAAGAGCTTCCAGTCGACATTAATGGATTTAATGACCTCGTTTATTCCAAGACAACATCACATGGCTTGGCGCACAAACTTCGTCCAAGACTGTCTCGCTACGAAGTATTTAGACGTTGATTTTTCAAAAGAAACTGAAAAAATTGAATTTCTGATGACGTGTAATCTAATATGGTTAAAGACGCTCATCGAGCCAACCGAATTATTATCTTTAATGTAATTATATCGAATAATTGATGGCGTTAGCAATTTTGAAATATTGACATGGCCGCCATAATCTATATGGACAACTTTGCTCAGTCCTATCGGATAGAATAATTACTAGTAAAATTGCCTCTACTGTAGAGCCATAGCAAGTGGTATAATCTTAGTCTATTCGAACTGTATAAATTCTTGTTCCCGCTAAGAATCTCATTTTATTAGATAATATGCTTGACTAGTCTTTGTTAATTTAACCCTAAATTCTTTTCAAATAGATTGTTTCTTTGCACTTGTCACATCTGGAACTGTTTTAAGAGTTTTTTGCTTACCTGCAATTTTCAAAGATTTAATATCAATGAAAATCTCAAACTTCTGCCTTGTTTTATCCTGTTCCTTTCGTTTATTGTCATTTGTTCTCGCTAAAGTTTTCTCAGTTTCTTCCACTCCAAGTAACATGCCTACGTCTTAGTGGCATTATCACCTTGTTTGGAGTGAAATGATTATACAATTTAAAAAAAAAACAAAGTCATATCTACACCAGCTAAATGGTTATAATTTTCGTAAAATGCACGCTTGTGTTGTAATAAAAATAATCTTAATCAATTTCTTAATCTTCTTCTTCTTAATCTTAATCTTCTTAATCTTCTTACTCCTTATTTTCTTCTTTTTATTCCTTATGGAACATAGAGACGCAACAACCCCTCTCCAACGGACGCGGTTCCGGGCGATTCTCTTCAACTCGGCCCATGTTGTGCCGGCTGTCTTCACTTCTGCGTCAACAATTTTGCGCCAAGTCTGTTTTGGTCGACCCACTTTTCGCTTCCCTCGTATTTTAATATGTTTGTTTTTCTTCTGTTAGAACGCATATGTTAAATTAATACCTACTGTTAACACGCGTGTAGTTTATCAAATTACTCCCTAGTGACCTTTTTTTTATTATTCCTCTCTGGAGCCTGTACTGAATATAAGTCGACTCTACCTCCAGCAGAATATTCAAAAATCCCCTCAAAGCAAACTTCGAGAGGAATGCTTGCAGGCACAATTTATAAATCCTTATAAATCTTAACTTAGTCTTAAGTATGAATCTGATCATTGCTTACTTGAAACTCAACTATAAAAACACTGTTCATTTACTATCCAGTGTACAAGTACCGACAACATCTGCCTATAAACTCAAGTATATGCACGTGCAATGTTGCACTCTAGACTCGATTATAAACCTGACTGATACTTACTCATAGCCTCGGGTCACGATCACAAATCCGGTAACTTATTATAGTCGTAGGCGCACCAAATGCACTGCAGCCGGAGTAGAAGTGATGTGTCTAGGGCAAGCTAGCCTATCGGAGCCCAAACTTCTCCAGTCTGGTTTGTATTCAGAGTTTTTCTTTCTCCTAGACCGGTAACAACCCAAGTCTATGGAACCAAATCTCTCTTCCTAGTTATCTGTAGCTTGGGCGAGAAGAGATGACTTCATACCTTTCCCAATGCAAAGTGAATATAATGAACTTGATTGGGATTCGAACTCGGCTCTCCCATTTCTCACGCCGAGCAGCAATCCATTACTCTATCTGCCTACATTATTCTCCGGTATCTTTGCATAAAGATTCAAATATAACGACAATTGTTTGCCTATATTCTCAAAACAATATTTAGCAAGAGACACAGATATATACACAAAAAGATTTACACATTATATATATATATATATATATATATATATATATATATATATATATATATATATATATATATATATATATATATATATATATATATATATATATATATATATATATATATTTGAGATTTTGAGTTTTGAGATGTCATGAAATCCACCAGACATATTCATTTACTAGTGAGCGTGATGCTTACTAAGCCGCTTCATATATTTGAATTTTTGTCAGACAAATTAATAATGAAAATTCTTACTGTGGTACTTCAATTGTTTTGTCTTCTAATTCGTCATTATTTAAGATTATTAGCAAAAGGAGCAGTTTGTAATGCAAATTACAAATTGGAGATAAGAAAACCCAAGAAGTAACGCAATTTAAATATCTTTGTTAACAAAGGACGGAAAATACAACACTGAAATCTCACTGAAAAGCGCATTTTGATAGCGAAAGATGCCTTCGAAAAGCAAAGCAAAGTATTTACAATAGAAATAAATCATTAGAAACAAAGAAATGAGAGCCGAGCTGTTATGTAGTATCAGTTCTCCTCTATGGCAGTGAATACGGGACAATCTCCTCACAGATGAAAACACTTAAACCAGCATAAATATGATTCTCCAACAGGAGGCCAAAAAATAACTCGGACCGATTATATTGAGCAACGACGAAGTTTTAGAGAAAATGGAACAAAAAAGGACCCTTACACTTCAAATCAGAAAGAGAGAGCTGAAAAATTATAGGGTATATAATGAGAAAAGAAGGTTCGGAAAATTGGATACTGACAGGAGAGACCGAAGGCAAGAGGGACAGGAAAATAACGCATAACCTACCAAGTGAGATTAATAAACAGATAGTACAACAAGGTTTAGGAGAGATAAGTAAAAGACAAAATTTATTAACAGCTACAAAGGAAGAAAATTGTGGAGAGCCATGATTGCCAACGTCCTGAGGGGACACGGTAAAAAAAAGAATAATGTGCTATTCTATGTCTGTATATATTGTTATTTATATTGTAAATTTCAGCAACTTCAAAAATAGTAGTTTCTTCTGCTGAAGAAGTCACTATTATTTTTGAAGTTGCTGAAATTTACAATATGAATAGTAATATATTCAGACTTAGAACAGACGGATCATACAACTAACTAAACAGAAATAAAATTAATGGTTCAAGAGATATATCTTAAAATATCGAGTCGCCTTCCAACTTAATTCGAGCTGTTTAAGAATTTGTTCAAAATGCTTTTATCGTACAACAACAACAAAAAAGTAAGGCTGCAACATAGAATAAAACATGGATGAAGTTTGAATGCATGAAAAGTCTCTGCCAGATATGTAAACAATATTTGAATATCTACCAATGATACGTGAGGTATATATTGATTTTAGTAATCTTGTGTGTTGAACCGAATACATAAGAGTATATACAAAGGTATGTGCAGTATCAAAGAGAAACAGACGAAGAGTCGCTTATATAAGTTAATCCGTATTAAGAATACATACCAGGGCTACACACGAGGGCACGAGGTTACATTCGGGTGAAGTCAGAATTTATTCACGAATAACATAATCTATAGAGATAGAAAATATGGAAGGAGCTATAAGACAAAAAATCCAATATTTATTTATTGTAACATATCTACAATATTTTTTTCTTTGATTAACGGCATATCAACTCGTTATGGGTCATTTAATATTGTAACTTCTGAGAAGCTTCGAAGTAATGATATATGTTATTCTGCTTTCACAATTGAATATATGGTAGATGATCCTCGGCTTTCGTGCATACACATGTTTGTGAGGATGTAATTACTAGAGGTGGTGTTATCTGTGTTTTGTTGAAGTTATAATTTAGAATAGTATTATTTCTTTAAGAAATTGTCGGATATCATATAGAATTCTGTCCTGAAAGTGTTTATTCATGTTTCTGATTTGGTTGATTTTGATGAGCAGCATTTCAACCTCTATGGATTATTTACATTTAATGTCGAAATCTAAATATTTTGAACATATATTTAAGTTTTCAAATAAATATATAGCATAAATAAATATTGTTGATAATTTAAATATAAATATATATTGATTGTAACTCGTTTTATATAAATATATATATATGTATGTTTATATTTTCATAATGTTTTGTTTGATAGTGGGGTCACCATTTTTCCATAGCTGGAACCCTAACAAGTGTTACCACCCAAGTCAAGGTGAACCTGAGAACAACAACTTCAAGTCTAAATATTTTGTACGCAAATGTATACTTTCACCAACAGATAAAGTTGATAATTTTACTATAAAAATGTATTTTTGGTAACTTTACTATAAATACGTATTACTGGTAATATTACTATAAAAATGTATTTTTATACATTAATAGTGTTTTTTAGGGGATCACTATTTGCCTATAGCTGGGACCCTAACAGGTGATACCACACCAGGTAATGGTGACCCCTATCAAACAAAACATTATGAAAATATATATATATATATATATATATATATATATATATATATATATATATATATATATATATATATATATATATATATATATATATATATATAAAACGAGTTACAATCAATACATATTTATATTTAAATTATCAACAATATTTATTTAGTGTATATATATATTTTTTGTGAGGATGTAATTACTAGAGGTAGTGGTATTTGTGTTTTGTTGAAGTTATAATTTAGAATACAGTTTTATTTCTTTAAGAAATTGTCGGATATTATATGGATTTCTGTCCCGAAAGTGTTTATTCATGTTTCTGGTTTGGTTGATTTTGATGAGCAGCATTTCAACCTCTATGGATTATTTACATTTAATGCCGA